AATTCTGTCCTTATCCTTTCGCCTACTTGGGAGGAGCCTTCAGCTCTAATGATGACCACCACCCCCCACCACCCCCTCCCCCCGTCCTCTGTTTCACGGTTCTTTGTGTATATGCTACACCTTTCTAACACATGGTAGTAACTAGGCCTCATTTACCTTTGTTTTCTCCAGATTCCCTAGCTAAGTAAAGGTACTCAATTATTACAAAATAAACATTTATTGGGAACCAGCAGTTAGCATAATGGCTATGTCGCTGGACTCCCATGTAGTCGACCGCGGTTCACGTCCCGGACCCAGTGGCTTATAACTCACGCCGGGCACGTGTGCGTGCATGCCCAAGATCCCGAGATGAGAATGGAGGAGAAGGGATTGTGGCGTGACCATCTCCCCTTGGGGGTGATTTCTCGCTTTCTGTCTCTATGTCTCTCTCTGTCTGTCTGGTGAGCACACGTGCCATATAGCGAAAACCTCTACAAAAATAATAATAAAAAACAAACATTTATTGAATTAAAAGGACATGCAAATATCTGTCTGCAACTTCATCCTAGAACTATATCCTGTTTGTTTTAGTCTGTTGCTAACAATTGAATATCCAACTGGGTAATTTAAGAAGAACAGAGGTTTATTTAGTTCTTGGTTTTGGAAGTTCAGGGTTGCATTTGGTGAGGGACTCTGTGTAGGGTCCCAAGGAGGTTCCTGGCCCTACGTGGTGAGACAGGACATGTGTCTGTCTGTGTCTGTGCCTCTTATAAAGTGACTAGGATTCAATTATGGGGACCCCACTCCAATGATCTTATTTAATGCTAATGGCCTTCCAAAGGTCCCACTTCTTTTTCTTTTTTTAAAGAATTATTTATTTCATTTTTTTATTATTATTATTATTATTTTAAATTTGCTATAGAGAATGCATGCTCACCAGAAAGAAAGAGACAGAGAGACATGTAAACAGAGAGATACAGAGAGAGAGAGAGAGAAAGTGAGAAAGCAAGCTACCAGGTTTGAGATTTGAACTGTGGTTTACCACATGGGGGCCTATTGCCTTAACCACACACCATCAACTGGCCCTGAGGTCCTGCTTTTTAATTCCATAGTCAGACTGAGTTTCTACCCTCTCAATACCTCTACAAGGTAACCAAATTTTAACACATAAATTACTGGGAGACACAGTCAAACCACAGCGCCACCACTACAGAATTATTAGGAACTTGGATTCTGGTGTTGGACTGCCCTAAACATGAATTTGCATTTACGAGCTATATGGTGCTGAGTGTATTGCTTAATTTGAGTCTTGCTTGGTAAATCTGATAGTACCAAACATACTTCCCAAGATCATTGTGAGGTTTGAAGGAAGCAATCTATGTAAAATATCTCAAGCAGTGTCTGGCATAGTAAAAGCTCAAAATATAGCTATGATTTTCATTATGGCATACTCATCCCTAAATTAAGGACCCTAAACTAAAGTTGGAGAAACACGGAATTAGAATCTTAGAATAGGACCAGTCCAACTGATCCAGGAATTATTTATACATTGTTCTAACAGATTTTGCTTTGCTTACCCTATTCCAATGATAGGAAATTCATCGAAACTAACTAAAACATCTCCTATTCTTTATATTAGGTTGAGTCACATGTAATTGCTGTTTGCAGGTCAATGTGATCAAATTACCAACAATTTCTAATGCCTGGAATTTGTCCTTTTGTTACCTCCTCCAACTTTAGTTCATCATTGTTCTCTCCTTTTTTTATATGACAGCTCTTAGAAATAATGGGGAAAGCCCAACATGATGGTGTTGGTTGTAGGGCTCTGTTACATGAGGCTGGAACCACACTGGGAGGCCCAGGTTTGGATGCTAGACCAACAGGCCAGGTAATCTGTAATCTTAGCTAACTGAGAGGTTGGAGTAGGAGATAGCAACAGTGAGACTGTAAGGCCACAGGGTAAACGACTTATGTTATTAGTTGTACTGCACTTGCATGCTTGTTATGTAATTATGACTTTGCTATTTGATGGCACTGCATGTAACCTGTAAGTGAGTGTGTGATAGTTTAGTTTTAGCAATGAGGCACTATTGCCTGCAGCCCTTTAAGAGAAAAGAAGTACCTGGTCAGCTAACCCTGTTTAGCTAAGTAGCCCTGCTCAGCTACGCCTGTGTTTAGCCTGGTGAGCTCTGATGGCCTTGTCTTGACTTGGCCTTGGCTTGGCTTGGCTCAGCTCCATACACCATGAGCTCCAAGAGGGAGGAAAGCACCTTCTGATCACTCTTCATGGCATTATAACTTCAAGAGGGAGGAAGCACTTTGTGATGAGCCTACTAAGAGCTCTTTGAGCTCACCCTAAATTCAGCAACAAACAACATTATGTCAATGCCTTATGTCTTTTTCAAATTCCCCATGTCTCCACTCAACCCACCCTTTGGAGGAGGAAAGAACCTTGCAAAACAAAGATCTTGTCAAGAAGCCCTCTCTCTCTCCCTCCTGCCATGTTTCTCAATCTCTCTCTCTTGCTCTCTTCCTCTCTCTCACATATAAAAAGGAAGGAAGGAAGGAAGGAAGGAAGGAAGGAAAGAAGGAAGGAAGGAAGGAAAGAAGGAAGGAAGGAAGGGAAGAAACCATTGGTGAATATGACAGACCTAGCTCCTGCCTTCACTGAGGCTTACATGCTTGTCAAAGAGACAACATGAAATTAAACAGTTATCCATAATTTTCAGTCTCAAGGAAGTGGAAGAATGTTTCAAGCAAATGGTTCAACAGGGGGAATTCCCACTGAATATAGCATACATGAAGATTTGAGAGTATAAAGTAACACTGTCTAATAGAATGTTCTGTGATGATGAAAATATTCTGTATCTGTCCACATGGTGATTGAGCACTTGAAATGTGACTAGGGTCATGTGACTGAGGAAATAAGATTTTAATTAAATTAAATTTTAATTAATTTAAATTTAAATAGACTCATGTGGCTAGTGGCTAAAAGATTGTACAGAGCTGATATAAAGTAAGAGGAAACAGAGGCAAGAGAGAGACTGGAAAAGTCAGCAGGTCCCAGATCAGAAAGAACCTTGAGAATCACATGAATAATTATAGACTTTATCCTGAGAGCCACAGGGATTTCTGAAAGGGTTTCGAGCTTCAAGAAATAACACCATCAGTTAGGAATTTTAGTAAGGTAATTCTGGCTATCCTAGAGAGATAGAAAGGGGACAGGTAGAGACATTGATCTTGTCTCCAGGAGTTCGCTCCATAAGGGAAGAGATGGAAACAAGAGTCTGAAAAGTGACTCAAGGGATCGCTTAGAGAAATGAAGAAGTATCATACCCAGTCACACACAATACTCCCACTGTAATACCCCTTAAATATAGTTTTATTTTCTGTGGTTTCAGATGTACATGGTCAGCTATGGTCTGAAAATGTTAAATGAAAAATTCCAGAAATAAACAATTTGTAAGTTTTAAGTTGAATGCCATTCAGAGTATTATGATGAAATCTTGCACTGTTCCACTTTGTCCCATCTGGGATGTAAGTCATCTCTTTGGTCAATGCATTCATGTTGTATGGCTACCTGCCCCTTAGTCTCTTAGCAGTTGTTTGAATTATCAGGTCAAAAAATCCCCACCAAACAAAACAACAACAGTATATATAGGGCTAGATACTGTCTTAGTCCACTATTATAGGGTCATTTATAAAGAATAGAGGTTTATTTGGTTCACGACTCTGGTGGTTGCAAAGTCCAAAGGCATGGGGCTGGCATCTGGCCAGTCTCTGGTGCTACACCACAACAAGGGGGATAGAAGCAGATGGTAGGCACATGCAAAAAGGGAGAGATGTGGGAGAGCCATCTTTCTCTTATAACCACCTGCTCTCCTGGGAACTAATACCTTTCCACTAGAACTAGAACTGACTTTGTCTTGCAAGACAGCAATAATCTGTCATGAGGGTGATGCCTCCATGTTCCAAACATCACCTCCTAGGCCTCATCTCTTAATGGTTTCACCATACCCCAGTGCTGGGGGTGACCAAATTCTAAAACATGAATCTTAGGGAACAAATTCTTATCTAAACCACAGCAGGTACTATCCACAGTTTTAGGCACACGCTGAAGGTCTTGTATGCTCCATGGATAAGGAGGGAATACTTAGTTACTCACTGGGCTTCTAACTTCCTAAGTGTTTCTGGGTGTCCCTAAAGTGATCTGAGCTCACATGTAAGTCTTCAATAGAGTATCCATGCAGTATCCACTTTCCCCCTCTTCCTATGTTTCACTCTGTTCTTCTCACACTCCTCCTTACTGGGGTTACTTTTTACTGTGATCATGTCAGGGATCATAGTGCTTCCAAAGTCATTCATTCTTAAGGTATCCACAAGGGTACCACTGCTTTCTGTGAAAGGGGAGGAAAGCCCTGGCCTGAGCACTCTAAGCCATGCTGCTGGGCTCCCCCTCCTGTTTTTCTTTAGAGCATTTTATTTTATTTTTTTAGGTTTTTACCATAGGGTGTGTGCACTTGCCAGAGAGGGCCAGTGAGAGGGAAAATGAGATATCACTGCCCTGGAGGAACGGCCATGCCGCAATCCCTTCTCCTCCATTCTCCTCCTGGGATTCTGGGGAGGCACGTGCATGCGCCGGGTGGGATTTTCAAACTGCCAGGTCCAGGACTCAAACCGTGGTTGGCAATGTGTGAATCCAGCACCTTAACCACCAAGCCACCTGCCGTCCCCCACCTCTGGAACATTTTCTTCAACCATCTCCTCTTGGCAGTTCCCCCTCTTACTTGCTAAGCCTTTCCTATGGGGTGGGCCAAAACAAAAGGATGATAACAATAAGTCTCGCCAGGAACTGATGATGTCAAGCTGCCATTGGGTCCTGCCTAAAGAATTCTGTTTTTTTTGTTTGTTTGTTTTTTCCAATTGGAACCAATGCATAGAAATACATACATTCTCCCACCTCCTCCTTGACACACATCACACAAAAGCGCAGATGGACACACACACATGCGCGCACACACCTGATGTACAACCTCTTCAACTGCTAGGAGTTCGGCTGACATATCCACACAAGACTGGATTCACTTCAGGATTGGCCAGTGCCATCCCTGTTCCATGTGTCTTCCTGTAAAAGAAGTGTACACAGAAATGCATCAGCGACTGCAGCCCCACGGCCATGTAGAACATGCACGGAGCTGGCACAACAGCATGGCACGATATGAAGTGCATGGACTTCGGTGCCAGCCTGACCTGCATTCAAATCTCAGCCTCCCCACTTAGGCTACTGGGTGGTCTTGGGCAGCTCACTTAGCCTCTCTGGGTTTCAGTTTTCAGTTCCATAAAGTGCCGACTTTGGGAGGGTTGTAAAACCAACAACACTGGGATGCATGCCGCGCCTGTACCTAGAAGGTGCTCAGCAATGCAAGATGCCGTTGCTACACCGGCCTGAGAGGCTTGGGTGTCCGTCGTGAAGGTGACACCAGGGAAAGGCCAGAGTGCCACCAAGGCCCACTGCTGCCTCGTACTGACTCTTCGTTTTATGGATGAAGTCACTGAAGCCAGAGACAGGAAGTGACTCGATCAGGGTCACGGAGCTAATTGGTGACAGCCACGCCAAGATCGCAGGTGCGTCTGGAGACGTTGGGCCCAGCGCGCTTTTCTGTACCAGGGCAGCCTCCTCCCAGCTGCGGGACTGGGTTCTGACCTGTGGCTGTGACAATGTGACCAGGTGCACTCCTCGCACCTGGCGACGTCCCCTCGCGGACTGCACCGGAAGGCGCAGCGGACGAGGTGTGTTTCTGAGGAGCCAGGGCCAGAGCCGCCATCCGGTCGCCATGGCAACCCCGGCTGGGTTGGGGAGGACCAGCTCTGCTGCGCCCCCTCCCATCCACGCAGCGGACGTGACACGTGCGGCGGGGTCACGTGTTGTTGTTGGACCGAGGAAGCTGCTTCCGGGTCAATGCAGGACACTGGGCTCCCGCGGCCAGAGTGGGGGACCAGGTGAAGCGGAGCCGGGCCGGGCCGGCCGGGAGCAGGCCGGAGGCAGAGCGGCGGCGG